TGACCCCGGGGATCTTGCCGCCGGCACACTGCGTCTGATCTCGACTGTGTTGCTGGTATTGCGCTGTATCCGGCTGATGCGAAGAACTGCCTATATCATTGTATTGTTTTTTTTGGCCTTCGTGCAAGGGGTTGAGGCAATGATGCGTCATACGCCGGGTTTTTCTGAGGCTAAGCCAGTGATTTTTATGCTCCGGTCATACCAAATCGGCCCGTGCCCGCCCCGCAGCCCCAACGAACTCCACTGCGAGAGCGAGGCACATATAATAGTAACATTGCTGAATGAATTATCATGGCTGTCCTTGTATTTGTGCGTGGAGGTAGAGTTCATATGTTGCCCAGAACTGGTCGACCCATCCCTCCAGTACCACCAGACCAACCACGACACGACCTCATTCTTGTAGCAATAATCCGCGTAATTTCCATCACCGCCCGGACTCCGTCGATGATCTGGTTTACCTACGGTAAGGAACTGAGCGCCTAAGCTATATGAGGACTCAGCGATGCCAGCATGGAAGGAACAGTTGACATCAGACCAACACTGCAGTTCCACTTTGCGCCTAGAATCCAATCTCACATTAGCGAGATCGGGGTAACGGGCGGTTGAGGCGAATATGTCTGATAGGGTGGTGATTATCTATTGTGGTAGGCCATATGGTAAAGTTAGCACCGGACCCGAAAGATTCCTCGAGGTGTCGGTGCATCAGGGTAGTGGTAGACGTGGACCGTACTTAAATTTACTTGGGGCCGGGAAAGAAATCGGGGCACTAGGGCAGTGCTTGGCAATGAGGCTCGGTAACAAGGCAATGGATCTTGGCGGGCCGGCTAGAAAATTAAAATTTACCTACATGTGCGTACGGCCTCTAAACCTCATTAGGGGGGCTCGCGCTTAGAAATGAAGCCAAAATTCCATTAGCGTTTTAGTAGTTCAGCAAGAGTGCTGTGAAGTCTGTACTGCGGTTTGCCATCGGTTTTCAAAGGAATCTGGTGGGGAAAAGTGGGTTGGCTAATTGATAGACCAGAACAGATGCAGATGAGTAGTGTGAAGAAAGAATTTCAAACGGTTGATAGAAGAATAGCACATTCACGAGCCTGGGTGACTGGAGCTTGGCAGTTAGCATACAAGCCGACATTATAATATTATTTGGTTAGCATATCAAGCTAACCACTAGTGTGTAACATTAGAGCTGGCCTCGAAAACCATTCCTTTACTCTACAGTATCATACCTTCAAACCCCCTCTTTTTCTGATACGCGGTTTTGGCCATTTTTGCTGTTTTAGGGTTTCGGTTTACCTCAAAACCGACTACAATCGGAAGGACGGCGGGGCCTGAGTGCCCCGATTCCCATCTTTTCAAAATCCCGTTCACAGACCAGCCAGTCGGGGTATCCGGGTAGCGCTGTCTACCGGTATGGCATTGAGCGCATGCCGATTTTTGTTCTGGGAGGGACCCAAGGCTGTACCGTACTATCTGTGGGGCAGGCTGAGGGGGCCCAAGAGTTTGGGGGGAAGGGCACTGATGTTGCATCAGACAGGGGTGGGTCCTGAAGAGTAGGGGAATGGGGTGAAGCTTTGGTTCGGAGCCAGGGGTACAGTACCGGGAGAGGACATACCCTCGATCTGGGCGTTGGACCGGATTTGAAGTGGAAACTGGCCGGCTATTTGAATGATGGAAATTGTTTTATTGGGGTATCCCACCTGTAAGTTAGGTGGGGATGCTCTATTTGAGGAGGGTTCACTTTGGTAGGGTAAATAAAAGCAGGTGTTTGAGAAGGTTTTGTTGGCATCTATCTGCCCCCACACATGCCGGCTTGGAGCATGGGTTAGCTGTCGAGTCAATTTTGTGGTGGTTGGGCACATCCAGCGTTGGCATGCCAGTGAATGGTGGGGTTAGGGTTAAAAATCGAGGAAGGCCTTGGGGCTCACATTTGCGAACCCCCCTTCGAAAGTCCGAAGAGGTTTCGAAAATCCATAAAAATATACCACAACAGCTGAATCAAGGCTGCAATATTATAAGCCAAAATGAGAGAATTAAGGAGAAAAAGGTAAATAAAGAAAACTAATTCAGAATATATCCTTGAGGTGCCCTCGACACTTCTGCCCTTCAAAACTCTGACGGCGTCGGAAAAAACGGCTCTTTATCTAAATTTCATTTCCGACTTCAGTAGATTCACACGTCAAGACTGGGTGCAACTATGGGGAAAGGCACTGGATTTGCGCAGAACAAAGGAAAAAACAACAAGAAAGTCAGCCTCGGCGAACCCCCCCTTGAACTACCCCCCCTTCGAACCCCCCTTGGTCCCGCCAAAGCCTTCGTCGTACGTAATATTGCGTGCACCTCACCTAGGGAATATGTCGGGCTCCAATTGGAAGAAAATACGGATGATATGCAAAGGCCGCCCTGGACGAGGTTCGCCAGCCCTATTTATCTATCAGGAGTATAAATAGGTACCGGTGTTCTATCGGCCTACGGTTTGTATTCATGGTACAGTACAGTACAGGTAACTCTGGCCAACCAAGCAATACAAAGTGGGCGGACGTCTACGGGTATGATACACATACAGTCCTATATGCTATAGGAATCTGCTTCACGTTTGTGGGGGGCTCTTGTGATTGTTTCGTGTGTTTAGTGAAAAAGAGTGAATATCTACCCGAATGCTCTCGGCTAAACTTCCCCTAGCCGAGATCCCAGCAGAAGCCGGACCAATCGCTCGATGAGGTCTAAATATGGGGTGAAACGAGACATACATTTTTATTTTTCCTCCCTCTGAATCACTCTCCTGCCCCATCCAACCCATGATTCTGTTTCCTTATTTCTAGGCTCCGATCTCTATTTCTAAGCCCTAGTATGCGCCAAACGATCGACCACTATTGTACTGGACTCTAGCCCTTACTTGTTAGGATTCCAGTCCACAACAGAGCCAAAACAAAGGAACTATTCATTTCCATATCCAGGGGTAGACCCGCGTTTTGGCGTGCCCCACCCTATCAATCCACCGTATCCTTTCGGGTTGGTTGTGGAGCAGATAGTTTCGAATATTTCGATCAGCGACAAGGGGCCAGCCATTTTCGCTTCGGTCAAGCCAACTGTGGCCTTATTTGCACGATATCCAACCTTCAAACATAGCTTCCCAGCAAGCTAAAAGTATCACCAAGCCGATGGACGGGTGGGTATCCCTCTCTTTCTACGACGCACTTCTAATAACCTTTGTAGGATTAGTCAAGTGCAATCCAATGTTGACGGGAACTTCAGCGGGAACACGGGTAGCCATAATGTCATTGGCCATAGCAACATTGTGCTGAGTATACAGACGCCCCGCGATATGAGGAACCCGGGAGAGACAAATGAAGGGCAGATAAGGGGGAACGGAGGTATTAACGTTTCTCCGCGGATTTACATCCCGAAGCTAACGCACTATCAGAGCCGAGAAAAGCATCCAGGCCATACTGGATGGTTCCCTATTGTAGGAACGGTGCATTTACGGGCCGTGAGAGTGTTATCGAGTCGATAAGAGAAGTTTGCAAAGGCGGAGCTCATAACCGGGTCGCACTACATGGGTTGGGGGGCTGTGGGTATGTATTTGGTGTTCCCTTGTACTGGTATGAAGGGGGTTTACTAATGTCGCTTAGAAAAACCCAGATTGCTCTAGAATACGTTTACCGGCGTTCCAGTGAAGGACGTTGCCATGTTTTTTGGGTGCCGGGAAGTGGGATATTGAAGTTTACGGAGGGTTTCAAGGCTATTGCACAGCATGTTCAAATTCCTCTACCGGGGACTGAGAAGGAAGAGGAATTGCTCCGGCGTACAAGGATATGGCTCGAAGGTCCTGATTGTGGCGACTGGATCCTAGTCATCGACAATGCCGACGATGAAGCCGACTTTGTTGGGAGAGCAAGCCCCATTTCTAAGTTTGTGCCACAAGGGCGTGTAGGAACTGTGATATTCACCACTAGATCTCGGCAGGTTGCAGTTCGACAGAGCTGTAAAATTATTAGGGTTGATAAGATGGAGCCGGAAGAGGCCCGGGAGCTGTTCTCAAGACGCTTTGATGGCTGGTACAGTTTGGAAGATGAAGAAAAAGGAGCTGTTTCAAGGATCCTAGACTTGATGGATCACTTACCACTAGCTGTGGTCGGTTCCGCAGCTTTCATGGCCGAGAATGCGACATCACCCACTGCTTACTGGACTATGTTCCAGGAGAATGATAACCGAACAAAAGAGCTGCTTTCGGAGCAGTTTTACGACATCCAACGAGAGGTCGACATGACCGAAAGCATTCTGGGTACCTACTTTATCACCTTTGGCAGAATCACAGAACAGATGCCCCTGATGGTAAAGCTTCTCGCGCTACTTGCATCTATCGATCGTCAGAACATACCCAAGGAACTACTGACCCATTCGGGATTGGAGGGTATGGATGATTCGCTTAAATTCTGTCGGGCGATTGGGAAACTATTGAGGTTCTCATTGGTTACGGAGGTCAAACTTGAAGGCACCACATTTTACGAACTTCATCGTTTGGTCCAACTCTCCATTCAGGCCTATTTATCGGTAGAACAGGCGAATCAGGGGAGGATTGCTGGACTGCGGGCTATGTCAAGGATGTTCCCTGAGTATGAGTACAAACGGCGCAATATTTGTGCGGCTTATATGTCTCATGCGCTGGTATTGACTAAGGAATCAACGGATACAATTGCTGAAGACCTTTTGTATCGCATGGGAAATCATTATATGGAGATGGGCTCCTATAATAATGCCGAGATTCAAGTCCGCCAATGCCTTGCTCTTCGAGAGGCAGATATAGAACGAGACTGGGACGGTGAGAGGTTCTCTCGAATTATACTCTTAGGAGGGTTGCACTGGTACCAAGGAAGGGCGAGGGAAGCAGAGGTGATATTTCTTGATATGCTAAAGGATGTGGAGAATACTTCCGGATCAGACCATCCTGATACTTTTAAAGTTGTCGCCAGCCTGGCGCTAGTGCTGCAACAGCAACGGAGGTACGAAGAATCGGAGGTTATGAATCGCCGCGCATTAGAGGGGTACGAGAAATGTTTTGGATCGGACCACCCTAATACTTTGATGGTTGTCAACAACCTAGCTCTAGTACTGCAGGATCAAGGGAGGTACGAAGGATTAGAGGTGATGAACCGCCGCGCATTGGAGGGGTATGAGAAATGTTTTGGATCGGTCCACCCTGGTACTTTGATGGCTGTCAACAACCTGGCTCTGGTGCTGCGGAAGCAAGGGAGGTACGAAGAATCAGAGGTGATGAATCGCCGCGCATTGGAGGGGTACGAGAAATGTTTTGGATCGGACCACCCTAATACTTTGACGGCTGCCAACAACCTGTCTATGCTGTTGCTAAAGCAGAGAAAGTTCATCGAATCGGAGATACTGTTCCGGCGTGTCCTAGAAGCCAGAGAGAAAGTTTTAGGCATAGACCACACTAGTGTACTGTCGACTATTAACAACCTAACCTTAGCACTTAAATCTCAGGGAAAGTATGCCGAGGCGGAAAGACTGCTTCAACGTGCCCTGACAACATGCGAAAGCACACTCGGTCCGGAGAACCCGAGTGTCTATGAAACCCTCCAGTGTCTGGCTTACCTATATGAAAAACAAAAGCGCTATTCTCAAGCTGGAGAGGCTTACGATCGAGCCTACAATGGATTCTCTAAAGCCCTCGGTGAAGAGCACCTAACTACCCTGGCCTGTGCCAGGAGGTTGAAGTTATTGCGAGAGCAGCAATCCCTCTCTGCGGGGGCTAGCCGGGTAGACGCCGAGCAGGGTGCTAAATCGGAAACCACCGGCCATTGTCTAACTACCGTGCGTTTTAGTCGCTGAAGAGACTCTCGCGGTATCCTGCTAAGTTGTGGAAGCCGTGGAGTGTATGATAGGGATTCAGAGAGAGGTGACGGTGGCTAGGTATACATTGCAAGGATGGGATGAGGTAGGGCTTCTAGGGGCCCTGTCATATGGGATTGTCTAATGGAGTTTGAAAACGTTCGGGGAGGTTTAGTAATTGTTTGTGGTTTTATCGCTTATTAGAGGAGAGTTTTGTCCATAGGTGCTGTGTGTTGGGATAATTACTTTAATATGACGGAAGCCGGTTAGAAATGAAATGTTGGGACTCATGTTTCTGTATAAACACCCCTCATAGGCATAAGTACTGTGGTCTTAGGTGCTAGAGGCCAATAGATCCTTGATAAAAAAAAACATCTACCTCTTGCACTGAAAATCTACTCTAAATCTTTATTTCTCTCTATCTCTTCAATTCCACACCTTACAGATCCCATTCTTACAACACGGTGGTTCCCTGGGCTTTTTATACGAGTGCCTCGGGAAAAGGAAAACAATCAAGGTAAAGAGGAGATTGAGGAATTATAGAACTAAATGTATATATGGATGTAAAGGTTCTTGGATTTGGTAGCTTCTGATATCTAAGGTCTAAGGTTTGATCGCTATTTTATGGCGAAAACATCTTTCCCTCAATTGCTCCTGTGTTTCACACATCAATCCGCTGCATTTTCATACCTGGCTTAGTCTCTCCCTCTGCTACCTGTTTAGGTGTGTGCACAATTCCTACTTTCGCCACATCACTTCCCTAGAAAGTGTGGCCAATGATTCCGATACAATTCGCCCCTCTTTTCCGGTCTCCCGTCATTTTGGTTAACCTCTCGGACTCGCGTCTTGCTCCCACCGGCTTTGCCACTTCCTCGGGATGTTCCGGGAAGCAGGGGGCTCAAACTTAGAGCAAAAATCAGAGTCATTGGTCAAGGGGGTCTCGAGTGAGCGCATGTGAATCACAGCTGTTAGGAAGGTGTCACTTCCCTTTTCTTCCACTGTTAGCTCACCGAAGAGCAGGTATTCATACTTAGAGCTGGGGGCGCACCCTTCCTTTTGTTTTGACCCCTGATTTGTGCAAAGTGGGTGCTAAAACGCCTCATCTCTGAGGATCGCCGGTGCCCCCCCAGCTTTGTTCTTCTATGGTACCAGCTCGGATTTGCGAGAAATACCCTCATAGCCATTTCCCGCGCTTCTATGTTATGTCAGCATCCTTGGACTATGTCTTGTAGGTATGTTGCGGTTTTCCTTGAGTTTCGTCGAGCGTGTCGTAGAGATTAGGGAGAATTCCGGTGGTGGCATGGCACAGAGGGCTTGAGTCCAGTATCAAGAGAGGGGCAAGGTTGAGGCAGACATATGAAAGAACTGTACAAGAGAGGAAGATATGGGCAAGGATTACTCTGCTTGATTCGTTTCACGGCCCACTCTCAGGCCTTTTACGCCTTCAGACCTGAAAGCCCTCCTACCATTGGCTCCTGAGAACACCAATCCTCCGCTCATGGCATTTATCCAATCCCTCTTAAGTTTCACCGCGGGTCTTGTGTTCCGCGGTAGGGCCGGGCATCAGCTCAGTTGGGCTGGATTGTGTTCTTCAGGGGGCTGTCGAGGTGTCCAAGCAAACCCGTGAATCAGGAATGGGAGGTGGGGGGGGCTTGTGAGTGGCAAGTAGTGGCTGATAGCCAAGCTTGGCTCTCTTAATAAAATGCACCGAGATAGAGAAAATAGCTTAGTGACTGTGCAAGTATGATAAAATAAATCATCTACCGGTAGCCTGTTGAAACAGTACTCCCTGATTCCATCTAGTACAGTATTCGCACGATGAGTATTGGGAATTGGCGAGATTCCTAACCTGGTAGCCCCGTGGCGTCAGAGAGGTTGGATATTGTACATATACATATATATACCATTCGTACCCGAGCTACTGAAAACACCCCCCCCCCCTCTCTGGATTATTAGGGATGAAGCAATCATGCGCAATCACTCGCCACCGACACAACATTGCATAATCATGAATATACCCAACCATCCTGGCTACGTCGAACGGTGTGGAGGGGTTATCGGTTTAATTGCTTGTAGTCACGTTTAATAGGGGTTCTCACCCTAAGAAAATTTCCTGCTGGGGGTGACTTCATAAACTGGATTTTCTGCCTATAGTCTTGCCAATTTCCCCGCTTGGCTAGACACGAGCGATACCCGCCACCCACAACGCCAATGGATACCGTTTTCCATGTATCTGTATTGTGTCCTGCTTCATCACCTTTTACCTCTACACTATGGGCCATATTTCACAAACGTCGGTCACGTATATTTTCGGTCATCTTATCCTACAAGTTACAAGGCGGTCATCGAGCAATCCAAGGAACCTAAATTCCACAAGCGCAGCCCGGTTGAAAAGAACTATACAATCCTGGAAGCCAATCTACACACTTCCACAACGGTACGACTTGATACAGCACTTTGTTGATAATGCGGAATTGATGCCCCGTTAGCCTATTATCTTTCCCTGTTAGAAATAGCTCCAGTACAGAGCCCGCTACCAAATTTTGGTGACGTTAAGCTTAGGAGAAATTGCGGGATCCGGCGTCATTTCCTTACTTGGATTCACCCCAAGCCCAAACTAGTCATCTTGATTTGCTACTCTTCGTTGTAGTCTAAAAGTAACATATTCAAATGTCAATCCAGCTTTGCCCTCAACATCTGGAAGCAAGAAATCTGGCAAAGGCTGCCAGAGTGAGGTGAAACTGAATGGGTATCATGGCTTAGGGGTATTCGTAGGGTTTGACCCATTTGGTACCTGGGTATACCGGTTGCTGGTCCCGGGCGTTGGTAGAGTGGCAAGGCGGTAGACTCTGGGCCGTAGCATCAACAGGAAATGGCAGCGCTTGCGGCACTGCGGGGGTTAGCTAGAGTATGTCAGAAGTCAAGAAACAAGACTAGCTGGGGCCAAGAAAACATAGGAATAACCGAAATACAGGCTCCAGAGAGAAATTTCGGAGCTTAAGCCAGGACGGGCAAACACCCCAGCTGATCTTCCCAATCGCTAACTACCATGGCCGGCCTAGAGATAGCAGGAAAGTTATAGCTGAACTTCTAAAGTGCCAGGGAGAGTTTTGGGAAAACCCGGGAGGGTAAAACTCACCGCGTTGAGCGTGCACTTGGGTATAGACAATGTTGGAAATATGATACCACAAGGCACTGGTCCGGCTTACTCTTGCAGGGTTAGGGTTATGGGAATTGCCGTCGCCGGCGAACTTTATGGGTTGCCATTCGACAAATTCCTCTACCGGTATCCCGCATTGAGACCGGATTTAGGGAGGTGATTGTCCTTTTAGTTTTTGCTTTTAGCGCTATAGCTAGTGCGCATGATAGGTGAGCTGTATGCCCTCCTCGAAACCTTTGACAGCTCAAAACTGAAATTTGGGAGTACTTAAGATCAAACTCGTAGCTACTCTCTATTCCTAGATGGAAGGTTGCTACACCGGCGATGTCTGGTATGGATCGCCAATGCCAGCAAGGTGAGCAGCGTCCGCAGAGAGATCTCTGAGGAGGGACAGATATGTTTGACTCTAGTAAATCGCAATTTTCTGGTATCACCTTTGATATGTGCTTCAATGTCCTATAGGTGTCTATTCCTAACACGTGGAATCTTTATCCACACCAACTCTTGCTGGATATGTTTCTGCTTCCACCAATTCTTTGATTTAATAAGTGCGCTTGGTCTACCTCTGCCTCTAGAAAGGCACTAGCTCGCGTAGGAGATATAGTTCATAAAATAAAAACCCCCGGAGAAGTTTCTCAAAGGAATCATTTGCTGCAGGGCGGCATTGGAATTATTTCTACATAGAGTTTTCTAATATACAGTTTTGTATCCCCAAACACTAACCCCCACCAGCGGGGAAAACCAAACATCTTGGTATTCCCGCAAGGTGTCTATATAAACAAACTATTCCCCCCTCCTTCTCTTTTTTTCCTCGGCTCTTTTTGTCTTTTGGCGACTTCCCCGCAACTTCTTCCTCCATCCCATCAGAGCGATACTAATTACTGAACAGGCCAGATCAAGTGCAGTACCTGTCCGGTTCAATCCCCGAAATGGCCCTGCGGAACCCGTCCCTCGACCGGTTATGCTTCTACTTACTCCGGGGGTCTTGCCTCTGGCCTGCTATGACTGACCCCCATTGTGTCGCTGGCATGCAATATCTCCAGTTGGTGCGAAGAACTGCCTATATCCTTGTCTTGTTTTCTGGCCTTCGTGCAAGGGGTCGAGGGAATGGTACATTATACTCCGGTTCGTTGGGAGGTCAAAGGAGATATTTGTCTGGTCCGGCCAAATCAAATTTGTTGGACTTTGAATGTTGCTAGCACAACATTTCATGCTTTTCACGACATATCGGCGGTTTTCCAATTAAACATTAGCAACCTGCAGGAAACATTCGACCCTGAAGCTGACATGCAACCACAGTCACATACACACACACACACCAATCTAGACCGACATACCTACCAGATCCCCGTCACACTATATTGGCCTCCGACCCGACACCCGACTTCTAGCAAGATCAGGCAATACTGCGGCACCCCATACCTCCAAGCCAGCATCGCCAAATTGAAAAATAGGACACCGTAGACCTTTCCAATAACCGCGGCATCCCCTACCTCA